TAATATTTAAAAGGTATTTACTGGGACATGCACTTTGTCTGGACTATCTGATTTAATCACAATAGCATATTACACATGGGGAGGCCAAGGCTCAGAGAGTTTGAATAATTTATTCAACCCCATAGTGTTAGAAAGTGATAAGGTAAGGATTTGAACCTGGGCAGTCTGCTGAACAATGCCTGAGCTATTTGTTATTATGCCTCTCATATGTTATGTCCGGTGGATAACCTAGTCAGCAGGACTTGAACTGGGGGAAGAAGGAATTTTAGGCTTCAATATAATGATTGTAAGAATTTTAAGATTTAAGAATTTTGTAAAAGGACAGAATAGATTCTTGAATTTCCTTCCAGCTTTGTAATTAACTTATAGATTGGCAGAGGAAATTTCACAATACTCAAACAATAAAATGAAAACAGTATAAATAAATGAGTTCACCTAATTTCAAATTTAACTAATAGATGTCATTAACCAGGTTTTATTTTCTCAATTTAAATTGAACAGACTTAAAGACATGATTTTAGCATGAGTTGTTTAGAAATCTAATCAGGGCCCCATAATAGTTTTGTTGGCCTGGGATAAGTGGGTGCTCTGATCTAAATAATTAGTACTTTTTGCTTAATGTTACCAGATTAGCAATCCTGGTTGATTGTTACCAGGGTAGTTTCCTGCTTGTGACAGAGAAGCTATTATTATTATTTCTGCATTTTGTATGTGTTCAGCAGCCCAGTAGTTTCACTTACAAAACTGTCTGGTATGTGGCACACACAAATAAGATTTGCGTAGAAAAGAACAGCTGTGTAAAATATTGCCTTTGGAAAGGCAAATTTACTGAGATAGTGATTATAGCGTATGAAGCTCAAGGCATAACCATAACAATCGTAGGGCCATTTCTCTCCCTCATGCAGTATTTTATGTCTATTGCCCTCAGAACAAGAAGACAGTGTGCATTCATGGTAGCAAATGCTATTTCCCATCCTGTAAAACGGATTTTATTGCAACCTCCTGCTTTTAGTTACTGAAAACTTGCCAAAAGTCCTCCTTAGAAAGTAAAACTGAATGCTTGGCCTTTCTAAAAAATAGTGTTTGAATGAAAGAGTATTATTTAAGTTCTAAAAATGTGGCAATGCTTAATTTGGTATATTAACCATCACTTTTACTTTTTAAATTGTTGGATTGTGTAAATATTGCTTAAGCAAATCTTGCATATCCGGACATTCCAGTTTAGAGACTACAGAAGGTAAAATGACATTTAAAATGTGTTCCCCCCACTGGCGTGCCAGAATTTAAACTTAGGTCACTCAGATTTATTTAAAATAGGCGTCAATCTTAAAAAGTTGATATTTTTGTTAAATTTTAGGTGATAATTTTGTTTAAAGATGATATTTGGACCTTACATAGTAAGCTTTTTCAATTGGTGATAATGTACTTATATTCACAATCATTTTCCTATACATTTTTAAACCTGTGCTTTCTCATCTTGTTTAGTACAAACCTTGAGGTTGTCAGGGAGGATGCTGGTAGATATTTATACATGTTCATCTTTATATTGTGTTGAAAAGAGTGAGTCATTAGTTAGGCTTTCATTCCTTCAGTGTAGTTCGCTAAACTTGCATGAATGTCTGTTAGTGTTGTTCAAAGAAAAACTTCAGCTGAATTAAATTTAAGAGTTGAATTGAGCAAAGAACAATTTGTGAATCGGGATGTCTCCCAAGCAGGAGTTGGCCCAGAGACTCTAGCGCAGACATTTGGTTGAAGATTTATAGACAGAAAAAGGAAAGTGACATACAGAAAATGGAAGTGAGGTGTGGATTGGTTACAGCACAGCATCTGCCTTATTTGAATACAGTTTGAACAGTTGGCCACTTTTGATTGGCCAAAACTTAGTGACTAACATAAGAGTAGGCCACAGTGTGTTTACACCTCCGTTTAGGTTACAGTTCATGATGTACAGAGAAACCTTCAGGCCAAACTTAAAATATGTAAGGAGGCAGCTTTAGGCTAAACTTGATTTAACAGTGTGATCTGTTTTCATTCTACTTTTAGTGGCTCACTTGTTAAAGATTTATGCATTCAAAAGCAAAAAAAAAAAAAAAAAAAAAAAAAGAAAGAAAGAAAAAAAGAAAGAAAGAAAACCTCCTAAAATCCAGACCTTTTATTTTTGTGGTTGTTCAGTGTTGACAAAGCCAGGTGTTCCATACACATTATAATACTTGATCTTCATGGCAACACTACCACTCTGTCCTAAATGCAGAGCTCTTGATGCCAAAACACCACGTGTCTTCTTGATCAAAATCCAGCAATCAAAAAAAAAAAAAAATCAAGTATTAGATTGTCCACTTTCATCTAATCTTATAAATGATTTATATCATATTCTTCATCTCATAAAATATTCTAGGATATTTTTAAAATTAGTAATCTAGGAATATTGTGTAAAACTTAGGTGTGAGAATAGGTTACTTTAATTATACTGTAATATGTTTATTTAGACAATTACTTCTTTTAGTCATATTTAATTTTTGTTTCTCTAGCAATTGTGTTAGCTGATAGATATCATCATAAAAATGTATGTTAATGTTTTTAGGTTTTTTTTTTTTTTTTCTTTTTTGAGTCGAAGTTTCGCTCTTGTTACCCAGGCTGGAGTGCAATGGCGCAATCTCGGCTCACCGCAACCTCCGCCTCCTGGGTTCAGGCAATTCTCCTGCCTCAGCCTCCTGAGTAGCTGGGATTACAGGCACGCACCACCATGCCCAGCTAATTTTTTGTATTTTTAGTAGAGACCGGGTTTCACCGTGTTGACCAGGATGGTCTCGATCTCTTGACCTTGTGATCCACCCGCCTCGGCCTCCCAAAGTGCTGGGATTACAGGCGTGAGCCACCGTGCCCGGCCAATGTTTTTGAGGATATGGGTTATATCCTTATTTATATATGTTTATATGTTTATGTCTTTGTATATATATATATTCTCTACAGAAATGGAAAAAAAATTTTTTTAGTTTTATAAGCCTTTGTATTACACTGTTAATTTCGAAGTCTATTTTCAAAATTATATATAAATAGTTGAGATAATCATTTCTCAACTTTATATAAACCAGTAGTATCAAATATTTAGCTTGAAATGAAGATATAGGAATGCATCTATTATATTCATTAATAGATTACTTAGAACCTGGGCTTGAAATGGCTCAAGAGGACATGTCACTTGCCTTCATAGAGTCATAGCACCATGTTCATCCAATTCATTTCTACCATATTTTTCCATTTTGCTAAGCTGAGTCACAACAGAGGCGAAACCATTTATTCTTTCTCAATTTCCCCCCCTTTGTCTCAGTTTCCTCTCTTTTTCTTTTACACACACATACACACACACACACACACACACACACACACACACATTTATCTTCCCCTCTCTTTTCTTGTCTTTTCAGCATTAGTTTTGAAAATATGGTCCACGTTCATAATCAATTTGGAAACCCTTCATAGAAATTATACACAATGACCGTTGAATGGCAGGCAAATTGATAATGAGATTGTTGCTCTGCCCAGGGTATCTCCTGCTCCTGGAATCTCAAAGATTCAGTAGGCTCTTTGTATGTTTCCCACCCTCCATTCTTGGTTCAACTTCCTCCATGGTTCTATGCATGGGAGTAAGACCCTTCAAATGCACAGGCAAAGAACTCTTTCCTTGGGATTGGTAGCGGACCACTGAGACAGAAATAAGATGACTGCCTCCATGCATGAAAACACATTTTTGCCTTTTGTAGCATCTCCCTTTGGTAGAATAATTTGAGACTAGCCATAGCAAAGTCTAGAGCTAGCTTATTATTTTGTTTAATATATTCATTTTATAAAAATAATTGATCAGAAAACAATGAAACAAAAGAGCCTTTTGTAATGTTTTTCGAAGGGCAAGTTACAGTGTCACTTAATGGAATAAAATCAAAGTTTCGACAATAATTTTTAAAAATTACTTTTTGTTTTAGCCATTGCTGGAAAAGAACTGTTAGGTAACTGTCTACCCTGCCTGATATTATATTAGAATTAGAAATTTAAATCTAATTTAAGTTTAAATCTAATAGGAGAGAGATTTCTGTGTTAATAATCTCTTTTTCTCTTCCCTTTCTCCCTCCATCCTCTCCCTCTCTCAAAATCTCTTTTCCTCTTCCCTCTTTATTGCTCCCTCTTCTCCCTCTTTCTTCTCCTCCTTCTTCCTCTGTGTTTTCCTCTATATCTATGCATATATACTTATGTATATATGTATCAGATATTCTAACCATTTATTACTCTTTTCTTCTGTACACAAATGGTCTTTGGACTTCAGTAGGTGTGAAAAGTTAGTATGAATATTTCTCAGTGATATTTAAAATATAATTAATAGTATATTCTCATCAATTTTATGAAAAATTTGGGGCACCTTTAAAATTTGGTACATTTTTCTGTTCTTTATTGTTTCCCCAGATTTTTTTGTCTCCCCTAAACAGATATTTTTTTTTCCCAAAATAAAATTGACTCAAATAAGCTCTCAATTTTTAAACCATTTCAAAAATGAACTTTATGGAGCCAATCCCCAAGGGCATTCTTGAGAAATAGATGTGGCTCTGTTGCTGGGAACAAAGGTCTTTCTTCACTGAGTCCTGGTGTGATGTGTTTATGATATTTGTGTTATGGCCACCAAGTCTATGCAAAAAAAGGATTCCAGAGTCACTCTCTGGGTTTGAGAGGGATATCGTTGTCACCAGTTGAGATAATTTTGGACACAGTTGTAGTCATTTGGATAATTGTCAAAGTGACTCTAAAAATATTATGAGATGATAATGAGAAAAAAAGTTAGTATAATTTTATACGGTGGAAATACCTGTACCTGGTAGTTCTTTAAAATTAAGTAATGTATTTGATAAAACAAACACCAGCATTTTGAGTTACCTATTACTTTTTAATTGTGTTTAATTTTAAGGTTTAGGTATGTTATGAAATGTTGACTATGTTTTCTTCTTCCTTTGTAGGTAACCCATTAACCCAGGAGAAACCAAGTGATCCTCAAGGCCGATGACAATGAACATATGCATAGAAACTTCACTCCTGAGGTGATCTTGAAGATTTTTATACCACTTGAAAGAGGCACTGAAGAGTCGATTTCCAAGGGATTTCATGGCCTCTTCTTGAAATCAAGACTTTTTAAAAGTCAAACATGAACTTCTATGTCATGAAGATTTCAGCAGATTTGAACTGTGTTCAACCTGTAAATTGTTAAAAGAATTTGAAGTTGCTGTCTGTGGAGCCAGTGAAGAGTTGTTTTTTCAGGGTGATGTTGGAGACAGTCACCTTTTGAGCTATCGGCTCCAGATGTGACTGCTTTTCTTGCTTCTGCAAGCTGTATCCCAAGGGCACTGTCCTCCTGTCCTGGATGTGTTCCTGGGTCCTATGTTCATTGGCTAGTGGGACTATACATGGCTTTAATGACGTTTCCTTTGAGAACTTTTCCTCTGGCATGGTGTAGACTGAGACAATTTTATTTATATCTGAATCTTGGAGCTCGGAAAGCCTACATGTTTTAACAACTTAAAGTTGCTTTTGTTAAAGGAATGGAAATATATATCCATTGGTAATAATGTTGGCAAGTAATAGTTATCTGAATACATCAATCATATAAGAATGTATAGACAAGCTGACATATTTCCCTAAGGCTAACAACACTCTGCTGCAGCTCTTTGTCAAATAGTTAGTAGTTAGAACTGGATTACCATTTTCATTATATAATACTTTGTACCTCTAGAGCACTCTCCCTTTCTGCTTTCTTTTTTTTTAAGTGGGCTTTTCTTTAATTTTTTTTTATGTTTACTTATTCCCTTCACAGAAATCAACAGTGAGCAGTCAAGTTACTGGATAGACTTCAGTTTCAAAAAGTTGCCAGGGATGCATGTGAGTTTCTGATTTCTTAGCTTGAACATCATTCACTTAGATTTTTTCTAGTTTTTTTTTTTTTTTTTAAGCTGCCCTATCTCATTTTAAAAGATTGTCTTTTGCTTGCTCCCAATGACTGTTTGAATGCTTACATATTTGTTCAATCTGTTGATAGAAAAAATTGTTCATTTTCCTCAGCCTCAAATGTGTTAATATTTGCTTACACTTTTCCCATTCGAACAACTTGTTAGGCCAGTATTTTGTGACATTTTTGTAGCCATTTGAACATTTCTGTTTTTGGTTTTACAGGGAAGTCATAAATATTTAAAGGCCTTAAACATGTATGTAGTTTTTTTTTAAGTTATTGTAGAATGTATAATTTTATACTACATTTATTTTGTTTCATTTGTGATATGAAAGGAGAGAGGAATGAAAATTGTGTAGCCATTCTGTAACAATATTGTGTAAACCTGTAGTTTGAAGGAATGCAAGTGAGGGATTTCTGTGTTTTACTCATTTTAGACTATCCAGAAGATGCTTCTGAAATTGTCCTATTAGAATTTCCATCATGTTACAGAAGGTATGGGAATATCTTGTATTCTGAAAACTCACTGACATGGTCAAATACACATACATTGGTTTCCAGCGTGGAGGCCCACATGTACTGGGGAACTTTGGTCTATCATTTCTTGACAATATTCAAAGACCAATACACTACTCAGACACTTTCCTGGGAAGAACAACTAAAAATGTAAAACTGGTTAAAAATAAGATCTGAAAAGTTTACGTCTCACATTGAACTAAAAACCACTTGTCTCCTAAGTTCATGAAATGAAATGACATTCTGCCTCCATTTTAATTATGCATAAAATGAATTAGATGGTTTTGAGTGGATTTTCACAATGGCTCAAGACTATATGAAATTTTAAAAAAGGAATAATGGTTGTCCTGGAGTTTCTGCATCAATTAGAATATAATTAATTTCTTTGTAACCAAGTGAAAAACTATACCTTTTGGAAAATATGAATTTGTCCTAGGTTTGTTTGAGATTATAGATCATGCTTCTCATTTTTTAAACTATGTTCTTTAACAACTGGAAACTCTGTATTATATATAAGTGTAATACATGCATACAATAGAAAAAAATACATGGAATTTCAAATATACTAACTAGATTATCCCCAGTAGATTAATGTTGTGACTACTCAGAAAAGGTGAATAAAATTGGGATATAAAATGGGCTCTCTTTCATAAATTACATTTAGAGATCTGCTTTCTGTGTTTTATTTTAAAAGCACTTCAGTTATTATCCAGGAACACTTCTGAATTCCTGGGGAAGATGACATAAATTCTTTTTTTTTTTTTTTAAATAAAGATTCATGGCAAATTTTGCCATTTACACAAGATTCCAATATTTGACTTGCTTCTTTGCCAGGATACAATTGAAATAGATACATTTACACTTGTGCAACTTGCCATCTTGACTATCAGCACAACTGGCATAATTTACTAGCAATATGTAAAATGCATTTTATGAAAATTGTTAATGCCTTGTTTATCTTTCAAAATATGTATGAAAATATTTATCAAAATCACAAATGTGACTATAATTTAACCTTTAAAGTTTTTAAAAAAACATGTTATGTTTTGAAATAGGTTAAGATTCACAAGCTACAAAAATAGCACGGAGGGTTTCTTTGAAAACTTTCCCCATCTTACACAGTGATAACATTTTACAAAACCATAGAACATTATCAAAACCAGGAAATTGACATTGGTATAATATTCTTAATTCAATACAGACGTTACTCAGATCCCACCAGTTTCACATGAACTATGCGTGTGTGTGTGTGTGTGTGTGTGTGTGTGTGTGTGTGTTGGTGTGGGTGTGTGGGTGTATGTAATCCTTTTTAAATTAACTATATATTCATCCATTGTAATATGCTGGCACATGTATTAGAATATATTGTGAGAGCATGGGCCAATAAGTGACTGATTTGTGGTCGTTCTTTTGAAGCCCTCTGTTTTGGAATAACATCCTACAGCTTTATTTTACTCTTTTTTAATATACACTCTTATTGTCTTAACACAATAGAAACTTCCAGTTTTAACATCATAGAGTACTATATGTGATTTCAAATATTGTATTGTTTTTAATGGGTAGGAAGAAAACTGAGAATCTGCATCTATGATTAAAATAGAAAATTTTATTTTGTTCCCTATTTCCCTCAACAATTCTTACACTATTTACATCTAGTGCTATACAATTCAACTGTGACTTTCATTAATAATCACTAATAGCATAGTAATTAATTGAGTGATTGAGACTTGATCTTTTCAAAGTTTTCATCGTTTTCTCAATTCATAGATAATGTATACATATAAAAGAGCAATATATGCAAAGAAACAAAGAAATCAAATTGTATTTGTCAATTATCCAGCCCTTTCTCAGTTTTTCTCACTAATTTAATGGGGAGAATTAGGATGACACCAGACACTCTGCTTAGAGAAAGTGAAAAGTTGGGAGAGACATATACTGAGCGTCTTCTGACTCTGCTACCCACATAGAGAACTCATGGTGGAACATAAATATTTTTTATCAAAGTAAGGGTCTTTCCCCTGCACTACCCTCCCCCCCCCCCCCCCCCCCCCCCCTCCCCCCCCCTCCCTCCCTCCCCCCCTCCCTCCTTTCCTCCCTTCCTCCCTTCCTTCCTTCCTTCCTGTCTTTGTTTTATATAAATAATGCTTTGGGGAGAGAAAATTGAAATAGATATATTTAGATTTATTGCAGTTTTCTTTTCATTGCTTTGGCTTGCACTGTGTGAGATTGGGAAACACCGTATAGACATTACAATTATCTGGCAATTAACTGACGGTTACTAAATTTCTAGTAGGCACAAGCATGTCTGAATAGATTGAATTTTGGGGTTAGCTGAAGCGTAGTCTTAAAATGGCCTTTCAAATTATTTCAACATTTCTCCATGCCCTCTGTTTTTATGGCATTATCCTAACCAATGGGAAAATGGATACATAGAAGATTTATGAGCATTTTATATTTATTTTGATTTTTTAATATTTTTCTCCAATATATTGCAAGTTACAAATGGTATGCACTGTACCTTAAGCATTTCCCTGGATGGGCTTTTTTGTTATGCAAAGCAATTGAATTTTATTCTACAAGTTATGTGAACATGGCAGGGCAGTACATGTACTGTAAAGCTGTGTTTTACAGATTTTAGCAAAATATATGTGAAAGTCTTAAAGAAGAGAGGTTGTGGGTATGTAAAGAAATTAGAAAGGATTAAAATAATCTAGGGGAGAGCTATTGAGAGTCTGAGTTTGGGCTATATGACTGATGAAGATGTGAAACTATGGCTCTCAATCCTGGTTGCAATTTCAGTTACTTGAGAAGCCTTAAAAAATACCCATGCCCAACCAACTCTCTGAGATTCTCTAAATTGATCTGGGATTAGGGTCTGTGCAAGGGTATTAGACTCTAAAATAGTTCCGCAGGTAATTCTAGCATGCATGCAGAATTAAGAGCCTCTAATGAAGGTTTTTGCCAGGGTTGAAATGAGATGGGTGAAATGATTGTTGAATGAAAGGAAGATGAGGAAGAAAACTACAGGAGGTGCTGAGCCTGCTAAAATGGAATAATAGAAATTCAGTTAAACATGAGAGAAAAACTTGGAGGCAAAGCAGGGTGAGAGGCAGGTGGAGAAAACAATGAGTTCATTTTTTAAGTCTATCGAGTTTAAAGTGCCAGTGAAACATTCAGAGAGATCATGTTAGGTAAGAACTGAACAGGCTTTATTGGATTTGTAATTAGGGATTATTGTTGGCCTTGGAAAGAGCAGGTTCAAATGGGATGCTTGTAGAATTGAGATTTCAGTGGGTTGGAGAGTGCATGAAAAATTTGAAAGTGGAACTGGCACACATAGACTTCTGTTTCAATGGGAAGTGAAAAAGAAAGGTAGGGTAGTTATGCTGATGAAGCAGAATTAAAGGAGCATAATTTTCTTAATAGGAGGGAAACAACAGTATGTGTACATATGCTACAATAAAGCAGACAGGGAGAGAGAGAGAGAAAAGCGTAGGAGTGAAACACGGTAATCTATGAAAGAAGGATTATCCATATTTAGATGGAAAGCAATACATACTGTATGTAGAATAAGGAAGAAGTTCCTTAGGAAATGTTATGGTATAGAACAGAGAAGACGCATTTGGAGTCAGGCCTTTTGTGGCCCTCAACAGAGGAGTGTTGGTAGTATGATAGCACATGAGCCAAAGAACAATCACCAGAGTAATAATTAGCACATAGGTGATTAACAGCTTGTGCCTGAGCTACTGATACTTAGACAGTTAAGTTGTAGCTCCAAGATCATAAACAAATAAAAGAGAAAAAATTAAGTTCAGCATCCTTATTTATTTGTAAAATGGAAATGCTTTCACTGTCTACCTTATAGAATTGTTGTAAAGATTCAGTGAGTTAATACATTCAAGGAGCTTAGCACAGAATCTAACTATTTGTTAAATGGTGGTTCTTTCATTGCAAAAGATATCACAGTTCAGTTTGCTCTTCAATTGCGTAAAAATCATGTTGACAGAAAATAATAGATTCATATCAGATGTGACATAAAAGGGTTTGGGGCCAGCTGGTACATGTGCTGAATTAGAGAGAAACGTGGGCAGGTGTTATATTTAAACACCTTTTTTTTTTTTTTTTTTGGAATTCTGTGGCTGAAAGGAAAGAAAACAAGTAACCTTAGTGGCAGACTAAGTGAAAATATTTTTCTGACAGGAGAGGCCAGAAGAGTTTATTGGCCAAGGGCAAAGAGTCAGTGGAGAAAGAGAAATTGATTTAAAAAAGAAATGGATCAACATCCTGGAGGAAGAAATAGTTGAGGATGGGAATATTAAATGGAAGTATTAGTGTGAGAGAGGAATATATACTTCTGTTAGATGAGATAAATGAACAAGGATGAGAGAAGCTGGAGAGAAATTTATAAGTGAGGTGAAGGGAAATAACACTTAGGGGCCTCTGGGCTGAGAGAATGACATACACCGGTCTTCAGAAAACAAGATTTATCTGTTGAGAGTACAAGTAATGGACTTGGGTTTTTCGCTCTTCCCAATGTGAGCAGAAAATGTCTGAAGTGCACTTTGGTGATTCTAGATATTGAGACCTCAAAAGATAATGAAGGCATGATGTAGAGGATTCGATGGGTAGAAATGTGCCACTGTCCATCATTGTTGCAATCTGGACAGAACAACGGTGAAAATGAATAGCTGGTATCATCTTTGTATGAAAACAGGCAAGATTTAAAAAATGGCTAGCCTCCCTTGAGTAGTTACTCTGTCACAAGTTCCTTTTAGGTACTTTACATACATTATTTAATTTACTATTACTTGAGACATGCAATATTGTTATTATCATTTTATAATAAGAAAATTGGGGCATGGAAAGGATAAGTAATTTTCCTAGTGTCACATATAGTCAGTAGGAGAGCCAGGATTTTAACCTCCATAGTAGTAAATAGTAGGACATTAGTATACTTGCCTTTGAAAGGGTATAGCATGACTCAGAGGGCAAGTAAAATAGACTGTTTTATGAATCTAGGGAGGGGTAGAGAGACTAGAAATCGTTTTGAAAGTGGAGAACAGTTTTAATAGGGAAGAGTAGTAAGGGAGGGAGATCCATTAATTCATTAACAAATATTTTTGCATTTCTACTCTGCACCAAAAACTGTTTTAGATGCTGTGAATAAAATATAAGTGGTAACCTTTACCTTCTTTTCAAATGATAACCCTCCTGGGAGGGGCAATAAACTGAATTTTTAGCAACTTAGCTTAAGAATCTTCAGAAAATTTCATGAAGCAGTGGAGCTGCCTGGCAGCACTGGAGAGAGAATTGGCTGAAAGTAAAATGGGGAGATTGTGAAGAATAGGGAGGTATAATGCTCCCAAAAGAAGCTTACCGTTTTGATAGGGGTAGATCATATTCATAATTATGAACCTCAGAAATGCCTGAGTATTTTTCAGAAAAAAGATTTCAACAATCAGTTTGTTTTCTAAGGGTTTATGTTTGATTTTCAGTAGGAAGTACAATTTTTTCTTTGTGTCTACCCATATTGCATTAGGGAAGATTTGTTAGGGTGGTATAGCAGTTACCTACTGCTATGCAACATGCCACTCCAAAACATGATGGCACGAAACAATAAGCATCTATCATTACTCCCAAGTCTATGTGTCAGCTGAGAGCATCTGCTGGTCTTGGCTGGACTCACTCCTGTATCTGTTGGTATCTGTGGTTGTGCAGGAAGTTCTGCTGAGTTTGTCTAGACTTTTTAAAATGTGTTGAGAGTATCTGGCTGAAAACTGGTTTAGGATGGTCTTACCTGGAA